AAGAGAATCGGTCCATAGATGTTTGTGATTCATAGACAGTCTGGCTTTGTGTTGGGGTGGCAGTGGGTAGGGAGACAGAGCTGGAGCCTGGCTGTGGCAAGCCTGACACCATGCACCTGATGGATTTTTCTACTCACATTGTCTCTACCTGAAAACCCTTCTGCCCCACTGTTAATCTAAACCAGTGCTGTCCAGGAGAAATATTAAACAAGCCAACCACACTTGCAATTTTTCCTTCCAGAAACCACAGCAGTAATAAAGGGGATGAAAACAGATGAAATGGATTCCAATGATGTATTTTACTTTTGTTCATATTTCCAAAATGTTATTTCAACATGCAATCAATAAAAGCATTATTGATGAGGTGTTTCACATTCTTTTCATGGGAGAGTCTCTAACATCAAAGGGCACCTGTTATATTATTAGCTCATCTTCATGCAGACAAGTGCTTAGCATGCACAGAGACCAATGTCTACCATTTTGAATGTAGGTCCTCAGGCCATCGCTGACTGTCCAGTGAACAGCAGAAACAGAATAACCAGAGAGAACAAGAGAACACAGTCCCACATTTACCTTCTGAGCTCCTGATATAGAGATCAGAGGACAACCTCAGTTGTCAGCCCTTGCCTTCCACTTTGTTTATAACAGGGTCTCTTGTCTGCTATTGCATAAGACAGGCTAGCCTGTCGCAAGCTTCCAGCAATCTCCTGTCTCTGCCTCCCATCTTGCTGTAGGAGTGTTGGGATTACAGAGACTTGCTACCATGCCTGGCCTTAAGTGAGTTCTGGGGATCTGAACTCTGGCGTGGCAAGCATTTTATCCACTGAGCCATCTCCCCAGCCCATGTTTTCTTTTTCCTTTTAAGATGAGGCCTCACCATGTTGCCCAGGCTGGTCTTGAATTTGTAGACTCAAATAATCCTCCTGTAGCAATCTCCAAGCTACTGAGACTTCAGACATACGTTCCTATAGCCTGCAAATCAATAGTTTTGGAAGTCATGGTTTAACTATGAGCCATAGACCAGTTCATTCCATAACCAAAGCTCTGGGGAAGCAGAGAAGGGCGTGCACAGCCCACTTCTAGCACTTCAGCCCTGCACAGGGGCAGAAACAGAGGAGGTACTAGATACAGGACTGGTGAGAGCTCAAGATGGTGACACAAAGCCCTGCCCTACTCAGGCCACACCCCTAAAGAGGTGATAAGTCACTGGAACTGATGGGTGGGGACATCCTTGGGGCAAGACGCTTCATTGCTCCCTTAGAGACCTGGGGGCTCTGGAAAGAGCCCGTGACTGAGTGAAGAGGCCAGGCAAGAAGGTGTGAGGGCAGCACATGGGCAGCATTCCATGAGGTAATTAGCAAGGATGCAGAAGGAGCTGAGAGTGGCACTGCCAGGAGCAAGTGTGGCCTCTGAGGTGACGTTTGTTCCCAGTAAGGGCTGAGGACCAGGTCTGGGAGAGAAAGGGAAGAGGATAGATACACCTTAGCAGAGGACAGCAAAGACAGAGGACGGGGTGAGGCTGGGGAAAGATAACCCGCCTGCCCTGTGGGACCCCTGCTGGCAGAGGGTGAAAATCCCACAGGCTGCATTTTTACTGGGTAAACCTGAGACTGCAGCCTGTGGGGATCTCCCTGTCCCAGATGTTCTCATGCTGGCCCTGCCCACAGGTCGTCAGCATCCTGATGTATTTGCTCATCAGGCCCAGCCGGGCCTCCTCCTGGGTTCTTCTATAGGCCCATCCAGGCCATCACTGAATCTTAAGTCAAGACTGACATAGCTGCCTGGGTCTTCTTGTGTTGTTTATGACAGTACAGCCTGTAGCTATTCTAATCCCCCCTGGAGACCTCAGTTAAGGGGCCAACTCCCAGGAGCCTCTGTTCTGCATTTTTAGACTTCATTACTTTATTTGTGCTGTTGTGTTGTACTGCATTTTAGTGCCGTGTTGGGGATAGAACCCAGGTCCTCTCAGGTACGGGGCCAGCACTCTACCACAGAGCCACACCCCTACCATGCCGACCTTCACAGGTAGAGAAGCTCAAAGCAAAGGACAACAGTCACCCTTCCCCTGTGTCAGTGTCATGAATCAGTGGCTCCAAGAATGGGCAGGACCTTGAGGAGAGTGTTGGACACTGTGCTGGCCAAGAGGTCATGAGCATAAAAGAGCTCATGTCTGTGGACTAAGATGCCCACAGGCAATCCCTGCAGTCCTGTCTGTGCAGGCATATTTCGGGCACTTGAAAAACGTCCGTATATTCTTTTATTCATTTATCTCTACCACATCTATCACCCCGACCTACACTCCTTACTTAAAACAGTTAGCCTAGAGAAGGCAAAGCTGAAGGGACAGAAAACACATCACAAGTTGCCAGGAAAAGAGGATGGTGAATACCAGGGTGCAGGGAACAGCTGTTTTGGGGTGGTGGGCTACCCTGTGCCTTGACTGTAGTAATGACTACATGACTATGCATTTGCCAAAATTCACAGAACTGCTGTGTGTGGTGACATATGCCTATAATTCTGGTATTTGGGAAGTTGAGGTAGAAGAATTGCAAGTTTGAGGCTAGCCTGGGCTACCCAATGAGTTACAGGCCATCCTGAGTCCCCCAGCAAGACCCCGTCTCAAAAGAATGAAAAACGCAAAAGTCATAGAACCATGTGATAAAAAAGACAAAATTTGGGCCCAGAGAGATGGCTCAGTGGTTAAGAGCACTGGCTGCTCTTGCAGAAGACCCAGATTCAGTTCCCAGCACCCACATAGCAGCTAACAACTGTCCATAACTCCAGTTCTAGGGGATCTAACATCCTCTTCTGGCTTCCATGGGCACTGCACACATGAGTGCACTTACATACATATAGACAAAACACTCACACATGAAATTAAAATTAATAAAAAAAATCTGGGCATGGTGATTCATGCCTTTAATCCAAACACTCAGGAGGCAGAGGCAGGTAGATTTCTGTGAGATGGAGGCCAGTCTGATCTACATAGTGAGTTCCAGGCCAGCTGGAGCTACAGGAGATCCAATCTTTAAATAAATAAAAAGATAAAATTTACTGTACACACTTGTGCCCTAATAAAAATATGTTTAAAACAACAAGCAAAGCTGAGCAAAAAGGAGACATCTGTAATCATGGAAACACAGTAGACATCAGAACAACAGGTACCTTGCGGGACGGGGTTGGCATTGGCTGAGCAGAGGCTCGGGGGGGCCATCTGGAGCTTTGGAGTATCCAGTCCCTGGATCTTGGTAGTAGGTTCATGGGCGTATCTAGCTATATAAAAATGACTGGGCCCAACACTTCACATTTGTGTGTCTGACACCACAGTAGAAATTTGATGCTTAATCTTCATGGTCAACTTGACTCGATTCAGAATCTCTTGGGAGATTCTAAGCCTGTCTGTGAGGATGCTTCCCGAGAGATTTAACTGAATGAAGAATGACCCATGCTGAATGTGGATGGCAGCATCCCACAGTGGAAGGTCCAGGAGTGAAGGGCCAGGGTGATGGGGGTAGAGCCAGATGACGGCTGGTGTTCCTCTTCTCCCACTTCCTGGCTGATGTCATGGACCAAGCCACCACCACCACCACACCTTCCGCATCCTGGTGGACTGCATTGCTCTGAAATGTGAGCCAAAATATACCCTTCTTCCCCTGATTTTCTTTGCATTAGGTATTTGGCCACAGCAGCAAGAAAAATAACAAATGCGAAGAGTGAAAGAAATGAACCTATCTTTAAAGAAAAGAATGTTTAATTTAAAATTTCTGCCCTGGCAGCCAGGTGTGGTGGCACATGCCTTTAATCCCAGGACTCGGGAGGCAGAGGCAGCTGGTAGTGAAAATGGCAAGTCTGGCCAGGGGAGAAATTTATTTATTTACTTATTTATTTATTTATTTATTTATTTATTTAATATTTTTTTCATTTTGAGAC